CACCTTACTAGATATTTCTAGGCCTCGTAAACGATCACGTTACTACAGAATGATCTTTCACTGTCGTACTGACGATAACGTCTCAATGTACTATGGAATTGTATGTGTACGGTCTTCACCAAATGGCGAATCGTTTTCTATTCGGTGTTAATTCTTATCGTGCACACGACCCATGGCAGAGCCGGCGACAACCGACGAATCTCGACGCTGTGCGCTGAGGTTCCCTGAAGGCAAACATCGTTAATAATCTGTTATGCTATCGAGTAGAATACGGGATAGTCGGATTTCTATATTCGGTCTTTTTCAGATACTTCTAATGACTGTGATTATTATACGTAATTTTCTCACTCTATATGTTATTAATTAACGTTCGTTCTCCTTTCATGGTGATCTTCTTTCATAGACAAATACGTTTAGCGATTCCTTCGCCGACATTGTCGCTGATATCATCATGGGAGATTGGCGAATGTTTGTCGTTGAGGTCGTTCGGCTATCGTTTAGACTGGTGTGCCAACAACAGTGAGCGACTCCGTGACGCCTCCGTTACTATAACGTAAGAAACACCATTGTTTCTGTTTTTCCGCTCCCGATTTTTCAATATTTTCGTAACGTGTAGATGACCGCAGGATTCAGTTGGTTAACTGGCTAAATGAACAAGCTCTGATTAACTCAGTCGTTGTTAGACTTAATAGATCGCTGAGCGACAGCAAGCTAGCTTGTAGTATTTATTACCTGCTGTTGAGTTTACGTAGAAGCAATATTTTTTCTTTATTATTAAAATGCACGTTTTTTTTTTCGTCCTCAGATCAAACATTCGTTTAACGAAGAACCTATAAAAGCAAGAAAAGGGGCAAATTATTTCATAGAGTTCATTACGACTCATAAATTTCACGGACAAAGTTTCAAAAGAGGCATAATGCTCTTTATCATATTGTAGTCTTTTTTTAAAGTAGAATGGATCCGAGCACTTAAGAAATTAGGAACAAAATTATAAGACGAAATAGCAAACGAGATAAAAAAAAAAAACTAAAAGCATTTACGTGGCCTGCTTTTAACACAGATTGGTCCTTAATATATCACACAAAATATGAGCACCGCCCACAATGAAACTACACAGTACCAAAAATTCGCTAAAAATATGTTCCCGGTTCTTTTCTTTATTTAATCACAAGCTTTGCAATAACCAACGACCTTCTTAAACCAGAGATTTTGTCACCCCAACCATTCCGCTAGACGTTACGCTATACCAATGCGTCGCTATGTAAGGGCGATGCGTTGGCGTATGCCAAAAGATGCTGTGAAACTAGCAGCCGTTCGGGAAAGAGTCGCGAACATAACGCGCCCGCGCAACGATTGTCGGGCTTGTCGCAGACGATGCTGAAATCGTCATCTGCTCATTCCAGCGTTTAGCAACAGACTTGTAACAATCAGATGATATCATCGCAGCACGTCGTTTGTCGCGCATCTCATAACCGCTAGATACGGTCCGTGCACGAGGGTAAGTGAGGTCCCTGTAGACGTGTATGCGTCTATAGATGTGTCTACGGCTTGTGGGTGTGTGCATGTGCATGCAAATCCGCCCCAGTGAAAACAGGACGAACTTGCAAATAACACTGAGAAAAAAAAAAGTCGAAATCGTAATCGACTTCTTTTAGAATACTGCTAACCGTGAGGCGCATTAAAGGGGAAAAGGACCGACTGACAAAGCAGACAGAATGCATAAAGCTATTTCTAGGGAGAAGTATATAGTGAGGTCGCAACGACCCAACCAAGAGGACATTTTGAGGTTCAGTCGATGTCTAATAATGGGTGGAAAACTATGTGGAGAGTATCTTTAAGAGCAGCTGTACTCCTGAGGAGTACAGAGGGGACAAGTATCCCCAAAAAATGACACCAACAATTGGCAAAAGTACAGCTAGCTAAGAAAAACGGACAAAAACAAACATTTGACGCTTATGTTCGTATTAAATCGAGTTTTATCCTGCCAATCCAAGCAACTTACGCAAGATTACAGAATGGGAAGTTCGCTTTCTGTCTCGCGAGTATTAGACAGTAATCAGTGATACTCCGCTGTTATCAATACATGGAACAAAAACGGTTCTATCTCTCAAAAATTGATTTAAAAAATTCATTACGATTATTTGCGAAATCGGCAAAGATATCATCACCTTTGAACATAAGAAGGACAATTCGAACAGTCCTACTAATAATACTACGCATACAAGACAGCCTCGCGTCTTTTGGGAATCTAATATCATTATAAACTATTATAACGGCTCAAAGCAGCGATCAACGCGAGCTGGTTCGTGATTGAGCCAGGTTACAATTTATCGTGGTGTACGACACTGGAAACGGTTGGCACAGGCAATGGTTGAAAGTCACGCAGTCTAGAGTACACAGCATTGGTTGAGGTGGGTGTCAATCGATGGGTGTCAACGCTATGATGAAAGAACATGATAGCGTGACGTAAATGTGAACCTGATAAGGCCGCTTTGAAGGCATCGCGATGTTGACAGAATTGAGTAAACGAATCGAAATTAGATATGGACATGTTTATTCGAGTACCGCGTAGACCTTGTAGTTCAGAATACATAAAGGTGGCTTCGTCGAACGTGTCAGAGAAAAGTGTAGATAACGCAACTGTCGGACGATGATAGTAGCTGCGAACAAAGTGACGAGCCTGGGCCAGTTGTCGTTGATGTAAAGAAGATTCAAAATGGACAGCTGCCGAGAGTTCTGTCGGGCAAACACAGCACAGGGAATATGGCACAAGGTCAGGTCTTAAAACGAGCTCCCTTAAGTGTAAAAAACGTCTGTAAACGTGTGGGGAGCTCGTACACGTCGTGCAACAACACAGGTAAAGTTTGTGTCTTTTCCATTCAAAATCAGCTCTCAGACTCACCATTTCCAAATGGCTCATCATCGGGAAATCAGGGCTTTCGTATGGTAAATTGCCGCAACTGTACAATACGAATAGACGGTGTTGGATGACGAGTTATGTGAATAGATTTAACGCAGCTTCAAAATGGCTAGGGTGGCAATGTCTTGAAATGACGGGGAAACAAGGGATCATTCAAGTTGAGCGTAAATTCATCGAAAAGCAAATGAGTCGAAACCTTCTTTTTACACGAGTACGCCCTCAGATCGTTTTAGTATCGTTTATCCAGAAGGATTTTATAGAAATTCCAAATAATGTCTACTGATCGCACTTACCGCTTACATGGGGACGTAATCTGCAAATTAATTCGCCTACTTAGTACCGCCGCTCAAGTTTTACCACGAAAAAGATGTCGGCATGTGATATAAGGGCGTAAGATTCAATTCAACATGAGGGCATACTTGTCACTAACTAGGAACATCAATTCCTAGATCTTTCAATAGCAACTACGGAACATATTTGACTAGAAAAAAACTCTGGACCACATCAGCCGAAATAGTTCATACTAAACAATTCGGGATTCGTGTGTACTCGACAGTCAATAGGATCGATTACGCTGCGCAAAAATTGTTTCAACAAGATTAGCAGTGTTTTATCATATGTTCCTTGATTTGGATCTGTTTCCGCACGGTATCCATTTTCGATTTGTATCTGCGCTCTTTACATTTTGTGCCTTCGGTTTCGTCGAGAGGTTGTATACGGTCACTGGCGATTTTTCCTCAAAGTTCTACTTCCTATACTTCACCTCGAAAAGCGACTGCTTTACGAATTGTTCATCTATCAATACATCAGAGTTCTCCAGTTCCTGGGCGCCTCTGTGTTTCGTATGTTTCCGGCAGATGTTACTATTAAATCCATCAGCAAGTTATACAGCCAAAGCTGTGATCTCCTTTTTCCTAATTCTGCACTTTGTCTCTTCGCTACTTTTTATCTATCTTGTTTTCTCGTGTGGGCTTACGGGAAGATCGTTAATCCACAAGAAGAAACCACAAAAGCTGCAACTGCCTGCTGCTGGTAAAACAAGGTTATTTTAGGTACTGAGTCAAGCAAGCCTGAAAAAACGAACAAGCGCGTCCGTACACGCTTGTCGATCATTTTATTGGATAACGGTGGTCGAATCATGGGATAGCATACGCCGCCTAGTGATAATTGCGGGCCCGTTTAAGGTAGCGTATCCTGGTAGTGAGTTTATAAGTGATGGCAGCGTTCTGCAAGTGTGTGAAGGACAATATGTACAAGAGTAGGTCTTGTAACTAGATAAGGCGAGCCTTTTCCGAGAGGGCATTTTCTTCCGTAAGCTAACTAATATGCAAAACCGCGTCTATTTGTTGAGCCTTCGCACGGTGTGTAGATTAGTCCTACATGCGGGTGACAAAGATTGTTAAGAAAAAATAAGGATACTATGACGATAACGCAAAACACGAGGTAAACCTGCGCTTCCTATAGCAAGTTGTTTTTAGACAGAAATACTCGTATTTTCATAGCGAACCAATGCCAAGCCTAGATATGAATATGAACGATATAAAAAATCAACAGATTCGTACGGCAAACCACAATAACATTACAAGATTGTTCCTTGTTTTATGTTATTATGATAGAGATAATGATCGTTTACTATTACAAAATTAGCTTAGTAAGAATTTATGCAGGTGTATTAGTGATTTTGCAATTCAGTGATCTTCATGAGTAAGTATCTGGATGCTACTTGGGGGGTCAGAGCCTCTGAATGACGATAACTGTTTCACTTATCGCCGCTCAACCTACGTACATGTACTTAGACAAGATGAAGTCATGACAATTGGTAAATAAAGCTGACGAAAGCTGGACAAATACACGAAGCATACTTCTGCTCTGTCGCCAACGTATCGAGCTATAGGATCAGAGGAATGTCACCCTAAGAATATGGTATCGATACCCTTTATTGTGGGATCTTAAGAAAGAATGATTTTGACAAACTCGAAGGTGTTAGGAAGAAAAAAACGATGAAGCTCTCCTCTTCATTGATTTTGTGTCTGGTTTTGATTTCACTTTGTTTCGTTCGTTGCCTAAAACAATGACTTACCATCAGGTCTATACTGCACCGTCATAGACACGGTGTGTCCTGCTCCTTTAAGTGCCTGGGCAGCCTGTTCGTGCGTGGCCTGACGCAGGTCGATGCTATTCACCGCTAGGATTTGATCTCCGCGCCGTAACTGTCCGCTGAGGTCAGCGGCGCCACCGCCGAGGATATACGAAATGAATATACCTTCGCCGTCCTCGCCTCCGACGATGTTAAAGCCTAGGCCGGTCGCCCCTTTACTTAGGACAACTGTACGGCTATCTCTGAACGAAAACATGAAATCGAAGAACAAAAGACATTAGTTAGAGCAGTAAAGAATTGCAACGGACGCGAGATTTCCAAAAATAGCTAAACGATATACTATTAAATGTTATTATTGACAGAAGTCGTGTAGTTATGTGTTGTTGGTGGGGCCTCGCATTTGTTAACTGAAGACTTGACTGTCTTGATATCATACGATAGAACATAAAAAAAAACCGTATTGCCATATCAACATGGTTAAGCTGGGATCGCGTTCGATGTGAAGCTTTTACAACATTAGTATTAATAAAATTAATTATAATGATAAAGCTAGGCTTATTTCCTTTTCATTTTTGATTAAGAGATGTAGGCAAGGGTTTAAGATGAATGAGTTTTTTAGTATCTTCAACTTGACAGAAGTTAATTATATATTTAAAGAATGATAGGAATTTATTTCTGCGCGAATCACGAACAGGTAATAGCGTCCGATGTTTCATGTCGTGTCTAGCGTGCGGGACCCGCTGCCAAGGGTGTCACATAGATTTTGTTAATGGCGGTCTATCGAACGTTCAACGATTTCCTAACCAGTCATAAGCTAACATTCAACCAACTGTTTTTAGGCCGCTCGTAGTATGTAACGCACCAGTTGACCTCGAACATCACCACCAACAAACTGTGCACAGCTGAATTAGGTGTATATAATACAGTGCCTCAAAAAAAAAGCACATAATTCTTAAAAGCTCGCTTCGGAGGCCAGTTTCTGGGCCGACCCTCGAAGAGGTCTATCTAGCTGAGCCGACAAGTATCATATTGAAGATCCATATGTGGGAATGGCTATATAAATAATAAACTTTTATTTCGCCTTTTACCACACTGAATAGGCTCGGGTGAGGGGCGGATTTCTGGCTTTTGTCCCCTATTCAAATGGTAGTCTCTGGCATCGAATCACCGACCATCCGATCTCTCTCTGTGAGCTACACCATCAATCAGCTCGATGAGACGCTTCATTAGAGCGGATTAAGGCCAAAAGGCCGTAGCGTTTGGAACTACGCACCAATCTAAACATATCAAATCTTTGCCAACTCGAAACGCTGCATCTGGCCGCTGCGCGGCTAGAACTCTGCGAGCAGAAATACAACCAGTGAACGTAAAGGCCCCTTCCTTGCTTCTATATTTACTACTGTCTTTCCTCGAAGCAGCTTTTTCGACTTCTAGGCGCTGACAGCTACGCCGACATCAACTATTCTGGGTACAATATATTGATTCTGCTATGCGCAGGCAGACTAGCTATTGTTGTCGACAACGAAAACGAAACATCCGGGTTCTATTTATTTCAACTGTTATGGCTACTATATATATATATATATGCGAGAACATAGGCATAATAAAACGCCAGCTGTCTTATATTCAACGTGGATAGCACATAGAGCAATTTAGGCTTCCTGTGTGTACCTAACCGATAAAAGCAGTGAAAGCAGCTTCCGGCGAATTTTTCACATTTGACAAGAGGAACATATGTATATACACGCGTTTGTACCGACTATATTTCGTGGAATTTTTTGAGATATAATTCTTCATTTATGGGATAGGTTTATATAGAAATATACACATGTCCATTTTGTACGTAAAGGCAAAACCTATTAATAGGTAAAGGCCTTGACGTTCGATGATGAAAGTATGATTTCATGGGCACCAACAGGCACTTTGCCGACACTGAAATGATATTACTCATTCGAATGAGCAAACCATACGTGAGTATCTTCAATCAAGGTTAACGACAGATTAATGATTATTGCTCGACGACAGAATGTCGATAGACGCTCCATCGTCGAGTTGTCGAATACGTACTCGTCCAAACCTTAACAAACGTGTCCATAGGCAGATCAAAAAAAGACGCCTTTTTGTGTGCCTGACTGGAGCAGTCCCTTTAACTAGTGAACATCTAATCAAACACGTGCTTAACAAACCAGTATGTGATATCACAAATAACAGGACGTCGAATAATACAAAGTTCCTTCTAAACGTCTTTACGTATTTAACTTTTGCATTTACACGAAGTCGTATATAATGTCAGTGACTTCATTTTGATACGTGTATAATACGGATCTTTAAAAATCATCGCAAACGCATTTTGCCACGGCCATCAAGTCACGCTTTAGAATACATATCCCTCCTCCCGACAAAAATCAAGCGTGCTGACTGGAATTTCCTACATTCCACATGTAAATCACCAATTTTTATACTCAGAGTTATATTACGTGAAGGAAAACGTCTTTAAGCACTCGATCATTGTACAAAACCTGTCACACAGCTCCAATGTTCGTTGCCGTACTGGAGAATATGTCTTCACACATATTGGCAACCTGACCTTGGATGCTTCTGTACGACGGTGTCGTGGTAACGTCGTCCTGAGTCTAAAGCAACGCTTGGCGTGGCGGTAGCGGGCGTCAAATCCAAAACGTTTATTTGTTCATCTCTTACGGTAACCAAAGAAACACGACACAATGTATATGTCTAAATACGAGCTGGTTTTGTGCGACTTCCGACAAGCCGTCGTGTTGATTAGCAGTGAAATCTCACCTACAATCGATTAGTGTTCGGTGAGATCGAGCTGTTTAGCGGATGGTAATTGGTAACGTCATAAAATGCTGCCCCACTGGTTACTCGCTTCTCTGTTACACGCGAAGTTCCATTGTAAGTGCGACATTTACATACAAAAGGACGCCGACTTATTTGTGCCCCGTCTTGAGCTTCAATATACTGATTCGACATACTCACCCGATATAGTTTCGACTCCCCGGAGGAATATCCCTGGAACTTTGACATTCGAGGGGTCTCTAATACTTCTCTGAGGAATCACGTGATAGGTGCGCGAAATTTATCAGAACGCCAACGATGACTACTATATTCTTGTGTTTCATTTCGACGCAAGTATTGCTTCGCAATGATTATCTTCATACAGTTATCTATTGTCACGCTAAACACAAAACTATTCGTGCTATCTGTGTTTCACAGGAGACCTTTTCAGGTGATTATTAGTTGCCAGTTTTAGGCCTTATTGAACATTACACACATATTTCTGTTCTAAATAGGTACATTTACCATAAATTAACGATCAGCACTCACAAATAGATGGGAACAATATGTCGGCCACGGATTATTGGTCACAATTCTCAGTGCCCAGCGCTTGTTGGCAAGCAGATCAATTTCAACGCACGTATTTAAACGTCATCATGTTCGCTATATAGTGAAACGTCTCTCGTTTCGACAGAACTACTTTGTGAACGTCTATAAACGTCGAACCAAGCAAAAACACGCGATTTCCTTATTATTTATCAATATTCCATTTTCTTTTTTCTTTTCGCAACATCCGTGCTAAGGCTTGATTTGGCGACTGGTAGCACATCGGACTTTGCCAACCCATAACAAATTGTATTCGTTGAAGAATAGGCGCCAGCGTTTTCTAATAAAGGGGCTCGTTCTAAGCGATGTCGCCAATCATTCGATAGTCTACTGAACCTAATCCACACACACTTTTCTGAAAGTCTGAAACGGTAACGACACATGTATGTATAAAGCAATTTAGACTACTAAGCAAAATCAATGAATCACATACGGCTAGATAGTTGTCAAAGGCTTGCTTTGCTGCATTCGTTTCCGACAGGCCAAGATAACGCCCACTAAGGCCAGCCAGCAGATAAGCGAGACCTATTGCAAGCACCGGTGTCGTTCCTTCCCATAATGGCACCGCGTCTTCCCACAGAATCAGACCGATGGCACCCGCCTAGCACCATCGGTAAGTCGCCTAATTATGATTTTTCGGCGTAAAAAATGTAACGGATCGAACGATGATCGCACGCCGAACCTCGGAAACTCCATTAGTGTGCAGGTCTCTTTTCACGCCTAAATATAGCTTGTATTATTAGAAAGGCAAACAGCTTTCTGCCTGGATCTGTAGCTTGGATCAGACTCAGTATTGTGAAGACGACTCTATATAGTTAAATTACTTTATACATTAATACATTTAAACTAGTCAAAAGTCCCGCAACAAATAGCCCATTCTACACATAAACAGTTCTGTTAATTCTGAAAGTTCTGGCAGTTGACAGCTCCTCGTGTTCAATTCTAAGTCGATCAGTTTTTAGTATCAGAAGGTTTTCCTGAGAACAACGTTTACTAGCCGCGTTCGTTCGGTTAAGGAATAAATCCAGTGTTCTTAGGCTCAAATAAAATCGATTACTTCTGTCTGTTATCCGCATTCAAGCGATTAATACTGCTAAGCAGAGAGCTTTTGAGGAGGACTCCAAGCCTAAATCTCACCAGAGATATATCTAGCGTGTTATTTACATCTCTCAGCACCCGCCGAAAGTAAAACTGAGTCATCCCAACGATTGTATTAGAAATTCGCAATTTCGGAAAAATCGACATCTGAACCTGATTTAAGGTCGATTGCTCGGACCTTCATTTGGTGCCTGGCCGGCGTGCCATCTTTTCCATACCGACGCCAGAGGTAGAGAACTTGCTTCCACATCTGACGCTTCTAAGTGATCCTATAAACAAACATTCTTATCATAGAGCCTGCAGGTTGACAGCATTTATAGTGCCGCTCTCGTAGCCGTAACAACGACGTTATTTCACACCTATGCACGACAGGTATCGCGAATCCATCGCCCGGGCGACACTGTGCTAAAAATAAAGAAACGCTAAAAACGAATGATAGTATCAAAGTTACCCTCTCAATATCGTTTCTCTCCCTCTTTTCGCACGCTAAGTCACTCTCTCTCTTTTGTCCTTTGTGTGGGATGCACGCATAAATGTGACTAGTTTGCTTAGGTAAGCCCTGGGGTACTCAATGCCGTTGTGCGGCCAGACTAGCGCAGGGTGCGCCACCTTAACCTTCGGAGAGTCTTTATTGACCTTCCGTTCATCTGCATTGAGTGGCTCACCTTGGACGAGCAGGCGGCAAGCGAACGGACAAACAAACGCAGGTGTGCCCGTGTCTACTCCAGACGCTAGACCTCTG